TCCTTTTTTTTATACAGTAAATTGTAATTTTTAAAGTACTTTTTATAAGTAAGAATCATTATGTTATATAAGAAAAATTTTTTTTAATATGTAATGTAGAAACCAACTTGAGTTATTAGTATTTTACTTTGAGTTTTATTGTTTTTTAACCTGGGATACAATGGGATACAATAGGATACAAAAGTTTCAAGATCTAGATAAGAAGTAAAGATTTCAAAAGGTCAAAAAATAATTTGGCAACCTAAGCAATTGGTGAGTAAAGTTGAAAGATTCTGTTTCAATTAGGTTTGCTTGTCTAATAAAAAAGCATTATTTTGAACTACATTCTAAACTGTACTTAATTTTTTTTGTTATATTTATTTAGGCTATAAGTATAGTCAGAGTTGGCATTTTGTCCATTGGTACCAATGGACCTCTGGTTTATTGACCAGACCTATTGGTTCTATTGAAAAATCACAATCCCAATGAACCAATAGATTAAATATATAACAATAATTTAAATATAGTAAATTAATTTTATCTAATCTATAAAGCTATACAATATTTATAACCTTTAAATTTTTTTCTTACCCACCTATCCAGATTTTTTTTATTTATTAAAAAATTTTATTTAAAGTAATCTGAATTATCAAATAAATCTGAATTAGTCAGATTGCGAATCAAAGCACTAGTTTAATTATTTAACTATTTATTAATAGTTTAATCAACAATAATATATAAGATTTTTATTTATTTATATTTAACTGGGTATAAAGATAGTTAATTAATCTAAATATTTAAAAAATGCTTCTTTTTATTTTATTTGCATTAATTTATTTATAGTGATTATAGTTAATTAATGTTAAGCATAAAATAAGCTATTCAAGTCTATTATTATTTGCATTAATTTAATTTAGCTGGTAAGCATAAAAATTTATTTATGAAGCATATGTGAACTAACTATTACAAAGTAAGAATTATTGAATATAAAGGTCGCAAATTGCAATAAAAATAATGCACATGTAATATAGTGTCAGACATGTGATTTTAACAAAGCAATTTAAGAATAAGAATGTTTATTAAACCTTTATTTATTTAACTGTGTAATATAAATAAATGGTTAAATGTGGTTAAACAAATAACAGTCTCAATCTTTATACTTGGAAAAAATAGATGCTCTATAAATTCCTTCTAAAATAAAGATTATATAAATTCACATACCATTTACAATAATCTGAATATCTAAGTTCTATATTTTATAACCCAGATCACATATCATCTCTAATATCAATCTTCAAAGTAATAATAGTACAAGCTTTTCTATTCGATGGCTACAGTGGTGATGATAAATATATAAATAATATAAATTAAATAAAATAAGTAAACTTTTACTTATAATATGTAAAATTTAATTATCCTATAAAAATAATAAGCTAATAGATGAATGGTAAATGGACCAATGGATCAATGGATTATAACATTGGTCCATTGAGCTCCATTGGCAAATTTATTTTTAATGGACATAGTCCATTGCCAACCCTGAGTATAGTTATAAATAAACCATTTATAGTTGTAGTTGTTAGAAATATTCATGTATTTTAAAATCCAAGTTAAATATTGTATTGCGAAACTTAATTGTTTATTGTAAAATTAGTACACTTATTGTGAAAAGGATAATATATACATCGCAAAATATGAATAAAATAGTTATTATGAATCAAATTAATATATTGTAAGACTATAATACGCATCTTTAGACAAATTTTTTGTAAGTTTTATGAGTGGGTATGCCGATACTTTATCCTGGGTACGATCAACATTTTTCCCGGGGTATTTTAACAACCAATCAAAATAAACTTCCGCTATGCTTTGTTTTCGGGTATAGGAGGTTCCTACTTTCGGGGGTGCTTATTTTCAGAGGAATACAGTATTAATTTTTAATATTAATTATTACTATGTACAAAAAATCTTTCATATTTAGTAATAGCTTAATTTACGTGTGATACATTTTAACATTTATAAATAATATGTTTGTGATCGATTCCAACGACAATTATATCTATAAAAATCAGTATTAAAGATGTACAAAATAGCTACCAGCTAATAATGCAGACATTTTCTCAGAGTAGTGACTACTTACGGCATTACGGCTATGACGGGTTACGGTTTAACTTCCCGAAATCAATTTTACTGAAATACCATTTCGCCGAATTCATAATACTGACATCCCATTTTACTAACAAGAAATAATTCCGAAAGTCTCATTTTACCGAAATAATATTTAATCGATACTGATGAACAATTTCTTTTCACCGAATATTAAAAAGATGAATGTCTATTTTACTGACATGCCATTTTCCGAATGGTACATTTTTCTGACATTCTTTTTCTTTGAAAATATATTACTATAAGCTCTTTTACTAAAGGATGTTTTACCGAATTTACAGCTATTTTTATAAATTCTGGGTCATCTGATAATCCGAAAAAAGGCATAAACTAATTTGCCGACAGCTATTTCACTGACAATCACTTCACGTTGAGTTTGCCTGATTTATGCAATTTTGTTCTATCGAGAAGATGTCTTGTTGGGAAATTTCTTTTAGAGGAATATCTTTTCGGGAAACCAATTTTTTCGGTGAAACATCCTTTCGAGGAAATATTTGTCGGTGAAAAGGTTTCGGAGAAAGGGGGTTTCGGTGAAAAAGTCTGTCTAATAAAATTTTTCGGAAATTCAGGTTGTCGGAGAATTGTTTGTGGCGGGAAAAAAATTCGGTAAAAAATTTCTATCAGTAAAATATACTGTCAGAAATATTTCTTGTCGGGAAAAAGGGATATCGGAATTTTGGGGTCGGGGAAATGGTATTTCAAGAAGGTAGGTTTCGGGAAAGTGAAAATCAACGCTATGACGTAGATGTCGTACTACCCCGAAGTTATATTGCCGTGAGATAGTTGTCATGAGTGATGGATGTAGTATGCCGTATTGCATTACTACTTGAAAAATTTCGCTGGCCAGTCAAATTTCAGTAACACAAAAAATCAATAGTTTTGTACGAGATGGTTCATGCGCTTTACACAATTATAATCAATTTTTGTATATAATTCAATCAAGTTGTTGAGTATACCTCCTTTGCCAATTTCTTTAACGTTAGATATTGTATAAGCGCGAAATAACGCCTATCTGTGCGTTATTTCGAAATAATAGTTGATTTTCTAAAGCCAATACAGTCAACCTTCCATAACTGCACGTTTTTGGGTAAAAGTGCATTTATAGAATATTCATTTATGAGGCATAATCTACATATAATGATAATATTAAATAATTTCATCATAAGAAAAATGCATGTGAAGTGCACTTATAGAGAGTGCACATATGGAGTGCCAACTGTATATCATTTATCGCAACAAATTATGTGCTACATTAGGATGTGCACTATTTCGGGGATACCCATATGCGTTAATTCGAAGCGAAACCCGATTTTGCAGATAATTTGCAGATCAAATTGTGCGAAACTAGTTTCGGAGGGTTTCGGACTTATAGGGCGAAACTAAAATTCCTCTGGGAGAAACGTATCGGATTTTGAAAATAGTTTCGTTCGAAACACTGATTCGAAATAAAAGTAAATCCAATACAATCAACCTTCCATAACTGCACGTTTTCAAGTAAAAGTGCATTTATAGAATATTCATTTATGGGCATAATCGACGCATAACGAATAATTTTATCAAATTATGTGCACTTATCATTATAGGGAAGTGCATTTGAAGTGCACTGTATAACATTTATCACAACAAATTGTGTTAAACGAAGAATCAAGTTGGTCTGGCCTCAGTAGTAAATAAGTGTTTATAAACATGAATCACTTTTTAATCCACTGATTAATAGATCATCTTTATATTCGCCCACTAAATTAAAGTGAATGACGGCATACGGTTACAACACTTATACGGCATGCGGCTCTTCTACTTATACGGCAAACATGCCGTATCGCCGTGATATTTTTGCAGGGATAGCTACCTCCAAATTTCTAAATGTCAACACCTCTACTACCAGCATATTAGCCTGATCATAATTAGTTGGAACGAACAAATATTAAAATTTAACAGTTTCGGAGTTAGGACCGACGGTACTATCGGTCCGTCCCAAAAAAGACAGACCGGCAGTCAGTCGGTTTGAGTCGGACCACTTAACAGCTAGATCATATATAGTTTTGATTTACATAGTATACCGATGCTTCATCGCCATTGATTTTAACAATAAATACACTTAATAGTATAATAATAGGTATTGTCATTCATTTTGTCATTCATTTTAAATGGAAGACATTTTTCAATTTTTGATTCGTTAAGGATTTTAAGATAATTATTATGGATGTAAGACTCGATAAGTCAAAAACATTATATATAATACAAATATGCGGTAAACTGTAACTATACATGGGTGCCTAAATTGCCCATCTTAATAAAAAAGTAATTACGGCATTTAGGCAGCCGAAATTAGTCATATAGTGCCAAAATTAATTTTCATATTTGCCGAAATTATTGCCGAAATTTTTTGAACTATATTTCATCAAAATACCATATAATATAGTTATTTCGAAGGGTTTCATTTAAAAAATTTGGCAATGCCGAAATGTTCGCCGAAAATGCGATTTTTCAAAAATAATTTAGACACCCATGTATAACTGTAACAATATAGAGCTACTATAGGGATAAAAGTAGTATTTCTTATAAAATACGTAAAATGTTTCAATTCCCTTAAAATAGAATTTTCTGCATGTAGAGGTATCATTCGTTAATAAAATTTATAAATATCCTCTACTAAATTCACATCTCACTTTGAGAAGTTTACGCAACATTGCTATTTGAATAAAGATTTTCAGTCATTTATTTATTTTTTATTTTTTGCAGTACAGCAAAAAAATATATATTTGTGCCTGTTGTTTATTATAGTATAAATTCGAAAATAATGTGGACAACACTTTTTATTATCTTATTCGCTACGATCGTTTCATGCTTGGAGAATGGCCTTGGTAGAACGCCGCCTATGGGATGGAACAGTTATAATCATGTAAACAAATCTTAAACATTTTAAAGTTTGGTTGTTCTATTAATGACTCCTTAATTAGACATATCGCTGATGCCATGGTTACTCATGGTTTTCGCAAAGTTGGTTATACTTATTTAAATCTTGGTGAGATCATTAATTCTATAAGATTATCTGAAATGATGTTGTCGATTTTAATCTATATTTATTGTATATTTTATATAGATTATTGTTGGTCAAATAGTAAGAGAAGTCAAAGTAAAAAACTCATTCCTGATCGAAAAGCGTGAGTGTAATACATTCTTTAGTCATAAAATTATTGCGTTATCTCATTTAATTAATATATTGTTTTGTGCGCAAGATTTCCTCATGGCATAAAAGGTAATCAATGCTTTATGTTCACACTCTATAACTTATAAAAAAATTATTTTTTGCTTATTACGATGTTATTATTATTAACTTTTAATTTTTATATTTTACTATAAGATCTTGCGGATTATGTGCATAATAAACGTTTATTATTTGGGATTTATGGTGATGCTGGAATTGCTGACTGTTGTGAGGGGCAGATTGACCTTAGTAGTCCCATTTTTGTTCTGTTGCCCTTGATATTTCCATTTTAGTAGTCGTAGGTGGTACAAATTGTAGGAATTCTGGGAATTCTCTAGATTGTAGGAATCCTAAAGATAGCGAGAATAATAATTATTCTCGTTATAAAGAAAATAGTTAGAATAGTGTAGATTCGAAGAATTCCACTATATGTAAAAATAATTATATAAGGAGAGCTTTTCTTTCTTAATAAAGGAGCAGTTAAGATATACTTCGAAATCATAATAATAGAAGTTACTTATCTTTTTCCCTTGTTCCTCATAAATCGTCCATTAAACCTTGTCACTGTCCCAATTTTATAAAATATACTGTTACTTCGTCGTATAGTGGAGTTTAACCTTCGAAATCCGAGTAGAAGAGTTAACTCTAAAGTCCCTATTGATAAAAACCTTGTCCCCGAATTATTCATAATCGCTTAAAGAAAATAAGAAAGAGAATTGAATAAAGATAAAACCCTCTTATAAATATACTTAACCTTACCCGTGACGCATTGTTATCACTAATTAGTATAACAATCGAATTAGTGATCGAAGTATTGTTGCATATTAATTACATCGATCAGCCAAATTTCCCGTGACATCAGGTGCTCGTGACCTCATTGATCAATTGAAGATCCAACTTCCGACCTCAGCTAATATCGACTCGTGACGTTAAACCGAATTAAGCCTCCGGTCTACCGATATTCTTACCCATGACGTAAGAATATTAAACCACCGAACACCGCAGTAGTTATCACACGTGACCCACGTGACACTCGTTAAGAATCTTAACGATCGTATTAAAGACTGAAACCAGCCAAACCTTGACTATTGGGAAAAGACATAATCAGCTTCCGGCTGAGATATATTATTAACCAAAACAAGTATAATCCAACGGTATACTTATCCTAACCGCCAAGAAACCCGCAGCAAGACCCGAAAAGCTTCGAGACTCGGACCAAGTTTCTCCACGCCTACTTTCTGCCTTCCAAACCGAAGCATTTAGGGTTTTAGATTGTAGTTTAGATAGTTTTAGTGTTATAGTTTATTTATTAGCACAGTTTATTTATTATAATCATAGTTTTAGCTTTTAACAATTAAGTCACACGTTTTCACTGTGCTAACCGCCCTGCATCTCTTATATTTACTCTTACTTAGATATTTTCTATTTATTTAATAATATTTTATCATAGCTTATGAGAAATTAGATGCAAAAACATTCGCAGATTGGGGTGTTGATTATTTAAAGTATGATAATTGCAATAATACTGGTGTTAGTGCGGTGATTCGTTATTCGGTAAGGCATGCAATGTATTGATGCGTTTTTAAACTATTTTTAGTAATGTTGATTCTTTTTATATAGGCAATGCGAGATGCACTCAAAGGTAAAATTATATGTTTCTGATAATATGAATGGTATATCAGGTACTGTAAAACTAACTCATTCTTTTTATAGCTACTAAGAGACCAATTTATCATAGTATATGTAATTGGGGGTAAAGAAGTGTTTAAAAAACTGTTGCGACAAAGTTATAATGCTTATTTAAAGTGTTAAACATTCACTCTATTTCTTATTTAGGGAAAGTGAGCCTCATTTGTGGGACACAAAATTGGCAATAGGTATTAGTTTGTCTCTCTAATACTGTATATAGTTTTGCATCCATATTATTCTTTTAATTCACTACGATTAATATTTATAGTTGGAGAACAACTACTGATATTTGGTCGGTTTGGAAAGGAATTTTATATGTTTTAGACCAACAACGAAATATTACAAAATTTGTAGGTCCAGGAGGTTGGAATGATCCTGATATGCTTGAAATAGGTAATGGTAAACTTACTTTTGATGAACAAAAAAGCCATTTCTCTTTATGGGCTGCCTTGAAAGCTCCTTTATTACTTGGATTTGATGTATGTTCATTTCATAATTTATTTTTTATACAGCAATTTATTTTATAAGTTAGATGCAGAAATTAACCTATCTCTTGTATACGTATTAATAGCTTAGAAACCCGCCAAAAGATACATTGGCTGTGGCATTAAATAAAAAAATAATAGCTGTTAATGTAATCAATATTTTTAATTGTAATATAATTTTTTCTTTACAAAATATGTATACATTATTGGGCAAAAATTTGTGAATAACGGCAATTTGGCTCAACCGGACAAATGATATTGGCTGT